GCAGTCTAACTATGCTTTAACAGCAGTCATTATGTTGTGAGATATGTGTTCAGTGGCAGCAAGACACTTTAACAGGTAGGGAAGGAAAGTGTGCGGTTAGGATAGCAACTGGTTAAGGAATTAGAGTGCACGATGGTGAAGGTGCCAGGTGGAAAGAGTGCCAAGTAGTGGGGATAGGGGCCAGGTAATTGATGAGTGTTTAGGATAGGTCAGGCAGGTGAGGTGTGTCAAGCCAGCAGGGATGTGGGGAGGGATAGCTTAAAAATCTGTTTTAGCTTTGAACATATTTAACCCAGCTTCTACAACCCTATGCAATAAAGAATTGCACCAACTCACCCTTTGAAAGCATAAATTCTTCCTCATCTCTGTCCTAACTGAGTGACCCCTTACTCTAAGATTATGCCCTCTGGTTCTGCTTGAGAAATCTGAAGAATTTTGTTGCTGTATAATTACAACTGAGTTCCCTTAATAAAGTTTCTATGTTTCATTGTTCTCTCACACAGATGAAAGGCTTGTTTTAAAACCCAGGAAGTGAAGCCCAATGTCAGACTTAGACTAAATAGTTCCTTTTCTCAAGTATTGTAGAAATTCTGTTTAGCCCTTCAAATCACTCAAGCAGAAATAAAAAAATCCATTTTTGTTTGTAGCACATTATTGTGTCTTCAGGATATTTCAAAATGCATCGCAACCAACAAATTACTTTTCAAGCACAAATAGAGGGAAAGAACATCAGTGTTCCCATATCCTCAGGACATCCCAAATGCTTTACTAGAAGAATTAAGAATTTACATTTTAATTGCTGCCAATGTTATTCTGTAGGCAAGAATGACAACCAATTTGTAAACATCAAACTCACAAAGGTGTCAAAGCATCATTAGTTGGTCTGTTTTAGTTTTTATTTTGTTGAGAGCAGAATTTCTTTCCAGAGCAGTGAGAGAGCTTCTTCCAAGAAAACTGTAAGTCCTCAAGACCTTGAACAGGTCTGCAAAACGTCAGCTTAATGTCTCATCCAAAGGATGTTGATAATATTGTTCTTTCACCCATGCAACAATGTATCAAGCTAGATTGTGTGCTTAAATCTTAGAGAGTTGACTTTGAACTTCTACCTTTTTGTCACAGTCAATTCCTGTTTAATTGTAATTCTAAATACACATTTAGTCCATAGTCGAGGAGTTTATCTTTTTGCTTTCTCTGAACTGTTGCCTGCTTTTAGGTAACGGTATACATTGAGACAATTAGAGAGATAAATTTAGTAATCAAATATTTCATTCTACGCTACGCACTTGATATTCTCACCATGTGATTGTGAATCATCAAGGGCATGTTGCAACCTTGTTGGATGGAATTTACAAACCTTCTGCTGGAAATTCAAGTACCAATTGGAATTACAAGTTGTCTTTGCTCTGGCTATTTTACTGAGCTAAAGAGTTCTTCAAAGATTGGTAACAATGTGGGACCCAGAGAGTGACTGAAGTGAATAACAAATATGCATTTAAGGGATAAGTAGACAAGCACTTGGGGATGGGGGTTAGGATTAAATAGATGGTTATATTAAAGGGTTTAAATGAGAAAGAATAAGAAGGGCCTTGAATTCACCATAAACTCGAGCAAGGACTGCTTCAACCAAGTGGCTTGTTCCGGTGCTGCATATCATTCAGTGTAACTTTTCAAAGGGTAGATTTCTAATTAAAAGGACCCAATATGAGCTAAGGTGGGTCAAATGGACAGAGATTTTAATGGCTGTAGTAACCGCAGGATTGGAGAGATGATTTGGCTGTTCCCAGTTTCCAACTCCCTACCTAGAGATGCCACTGTAGAATCTTAGGGACAGCACTGTTAAGGGTGAGGGAAAGGTAGCTTCTCTAACCAAGCAGGCATGAAGGAAATAGCTGGGGATGTCAACAACAACATTTAGGTCCCTTTAAGCTAGAGGCAGTTCACCAAGTGCATCAGGCACTTCAGGTCTGGAATTTCAGCTACCAAACGCACACTTTGATTTCCCCAGCATTCTTCTGCATAGCAATACTCAGGCTCACACATCTGGCAGCTCCACTCATTCCTCTCTTTAGAGGGACATGGATTTTAGGTAGGGCGAGGGAGGTTTAGAGGGGATGTGAGGATGCATTTTTTCATCCAGAGGGTGGTGGGAATCTACGACTCACCGCTTGTAAGGGTGGTAGAGACAGAAATCCTCATAATATTTGAGAAGTATTTAGATGTACACATGCAATGCCAAAGCATACAAGGCTGTGGGCCAAGTGCTGGAAAATGGGATTCGAATAGTTAGGTGGTTGTTTTTGACCGATGCAGACTCAATGGGCTTTTACTGTGTAGTGGACCTCTGTGACTCCATGACTCATACCCCCAACCCATATACAACACTCATGCTCATTCTCATCAATTGCCCTCCTGCACCCATGACTCACATGGGCCTTGCACAAATTATATACTTGCATCGTCTCCGCACAAGCCTTTGCCTATCTCCCTGCTTTCGCTCTTTGCAGGAAATGCAAGTATACAACTCAGCAACAGGCAGAGAATGGCAGGGTGCAGTGAAGGGGTATGGCCCAGCCTTCCAATAACAGATACCTCGATGGCCATTGGCAGTGTATGTGCAACTGAGAAGCAAGCCTTGATCCACATGGCCACAGATGTCAGAAACAATCTGCTGTGAGTTTCTTGAGGCACGCATATGGAGAGATCCAATCTCCAGCTTTGCCACTGGAATTGTTTTCTGTTTCAGTTAAAGACTATCCAAAAAAAACACACCTACTGGTTTCAAAATCACTTCGTCACAAGCTGCTCCCACACAGTGATGAAAAGGTGATAGCAGGGAAGTGCAATGAAGTGAGTGAAGTGCGAGACAGGTGAAATACCTTCCAATCATATGCCAAGCACTGAAATCACACTCTGTGGAGGAGCTCTTTGAGGATCAGCCTCTCACCTGGCCATGACTACAGATTAATCAAAGGCTTACCAGTCTTTCAATTTCACTGAACCCAGAACTGTGGCAATGCCAAATGCATCATCTTCTTACATTTGCTGCCATCAAGGATCCTTATTTTATGTGTTTATCATCACCAACAAAGCAGCATTTATTACCCATCCCAGCTGTTCTAATGAAGATGTTGGTAAACTTCTTTCTTGAAAACAACTGACAGAGCTAGTAGACCATTTCAAGGGCAGTTAAAAGGCAGCTACATTGCTGTGAGTTGCATTCAACCCAGATCGGGTAAAGAGGAAACATTTTCTTCCCTAAAGAGTATTAGTAAACCCCTATTGTCATAATTGCCAATAACATGTTTCATTTTAATCCCAGATTTAGCAAATTGATGGTTATAAACCCCATATCACACTATTACTATGGTTTAATTTGCATAGTTAACAGTTTAGGCAGCTTTTCCGGAGGTGCTCTAAGACCTTTCTGAGGCCAAAAGGGAAATTTCAATTTCCACTAGGAAGTTTCTGCCTTCAGACAGAACAAATTGGATCCAATCGGAGATTAATTCCTAGACTAGGTAATTTGAGAGCCTTTTAAAAGGTGTCAACAGGCGAAGGCCAACAGTCAGTCTTATAGCTAGAAAACTCACTAGACATGCCCCCTTGGTGCAGTAAAAACAAACAACAGAGATACTCTTGGGACTAACCACTGAGTACACCAAACAAAAGGACTTTCTCCACAGTTTGAAACCCCAAAATGGAATCCGTCCTGACCGCAATCAGAATTTTAGGGCCTACATTTTTGTGATAGAAATCCATTTAAAGATTCTTCAGCCTCTAAATTTTCAATTCATGGAAATAGCATTCAAAGAGATCAAGTCATACGCATAACCATACTGATGCAAGATTGGCTAACATCCAATTTGCACAAAGTTAAATATGTGAAATTTTGTACAATAACACCTAAATTTCCAGAATATCTGACATGCAGTTCAATGAAGGTGAGAAATTTTAAGTGACAGAAGCTTCAAATAATACTGTTCTTTTCTACAAAGCCTGATTTTATTTTTATTGAAACAGATAGTAGCATGTAGATAAGCTAACTTGATCATACTGCTTTCAAGTAATATCTAAAGTAGCCAGAATTGGCACATTTTCATAGAATCATGGAATTACACACTTAATCAGATGCCATTTGTCCATGAAGTCAGCGCCGACTTTTGGGAAGGGCTATTTAGTTATTCCTAATCTGTTGGCTATATCCATACAAATTTTTCTCCTTCAAGTATTTATCAAAATTTGCTTTGAAGCTACTATTACATTTGCTTTTAACATCCTATGCATTCTAATCCATTCCCTTTGCTTCTAAATCCTAATCATTTAATTGCATATATGTGCATATATGTTTTTGCCATATATGTATGGTTCTTTTGCCAGTCACCTTAAATCAGTATCCACAAATGTTAGAAGCAGTTACCCTTTATTTACTCTATCTAAATACTTTATGATTGTAAATACCTCTGTCAAATCTTATCTTCATCATCTCTATTCTAAAAAGAATATTTCTAATATCTTGAGATCATTCTTGTAACTGAAGTCCCTAAACCCTATTTTTTCTCTCTCTCTGATAAATCTGTTTTATATCCAATGCAAAATATCCTCTTCCTTCTTAGAGATCCTTCCCAGAAGTTGCAAGGGGTTGACATCTTCAAAGATTTAAACATAAATACCGGGTCTGAACATTCTTAAAGTTGTACCACTTAGCATATGCTATCTTTCCTCATTCTTGTATCAATGTAACACCTCAGAATTTTCTGCACTCAATTTCATGTGTCCACCCATTTCACCAGCCTGCCTATGATTCTCAACATCTGTTATTACTCTCTTCTTTACTGTTTACTACATTTCCAAGTTAAATGCCTTGAGCAAAACCAAAGAACAAACACTGTGTGGGCAGGAGGCATAAATGTAACTTGTAATTGTGCATTTAATTTTCTCATCCAGCTGTAGTCTTGGGCATTATATTCCATGTTTCAACTTATATTGTTTAACCAATCTAGATGCCAAAAAGCCTCTGCTTGGAATTACACAGGATGCATATGGAACAATCACTTTACCATCCAATCGCCTCTGTCCTACAGTAATTGATCTTGCTGAAAATTCAAGGGTGAAAATTTATTCTATTTTCTGTAAATTAGGTAAGAAGATAAACTGTTATAAGCTAATTAAGCATAATGCAAATAAAAATAAATTAAACATTGTTGAAAAATCCAAGTTACAATTTGAAAATAAAGCTATCTGTTCATTAACGTCTTCTTTTTGCACTGATGAATGCATGAGAAACATTGTGAGTAATACTAAGTCTTTGAATCTGTGGCAATGGAATTTTATAAAAGTTTCGACATTTGTCCAGATTTAGTTTTACCTGTCAATGGCCATGGTATTAATAATAGCAACCCAAATTACTTTAATAGGGTGAAATGTCCTTCTGAATTTCGTGTTAGAATAAACAACAAATTAATTAATTTAATTAATTTTTAAATTAAGTTTATTTAAAAATTGTTGCTATAAATATGATTATTTAATTTTAAAATTATTGCACAAATATATCTTTTTTAAGGTTTTGAAGATCTACCTGGTTTGTCTGCACATGATTATGTCACACTTGCCATTGTACATGGATACCTAGATTTCATGGTAAGAAAATTTACCATTTATGAAATTAGAGCAAATATTTGTAAATATCATTATTAATACAAATTCAGCTTTCTCATGATTAGCACTCCTAATCCATTCTTAAAAAAAAGTATGCTAAAGGAAAATATGCTGCATGAAAATCACTTCCTCTAAGAAAACATATAATGAGGGTGCGAGACAACAAGGTGCAGGGCTGGATGAACACAGCAGGCCAAGCAGCATCATAGGAGCAGAGAGGCTGACGTTTCGGGCCTAGACCCTTCATCAGAAAAGGGGGAGGGGAAGGGAGTTCCGAAATAAATAGGGAGAGAGTGGGAGGCGGATAGAAGAGGGATAGAGGAGAGGATAGGTGGAGAGGAAACAAACAGGTCGAAGAGGCGGGGATGGAGCCAGTAAAGGTGAGTGTAGGTGGGGAGTTAAGAAGGGGATAGGTCAGTCCAGGGAGGACGGACAGGTCAAGGAGGCGGGATGAGCTTGGTCGGTAACGTCAGCCTCTCTGCTCCTATGATGCTGCTTGGCCTGCTGTGTTCATCCAGCCCTGCACCTTGTTGTCTCGGATTCTCCAGCATCTGCAGTTCCTACTATCTCTGATATAATGAGGGTGGGTTTATTTCTTTACCTCTAATTTTTGCATACTACTTTGTCTGTTTAATCTCTATCTGTCTTGAATATAACTAGGCCACAACAATCCTCTTTCTAACTTTAATATTAGCTTGTTCATTGCAGAGCATGCATCCTTTCTCTGGTGCAATAAGTCTAATTTATTGAGCAAACTCTCTGGCACTGAAAATTAATTTTACAGGTATGGTATCTCATTCATTCTGATTTTAATAATTGGTGTAATTTTTTCTGTCTCATTTATCTCTACAAATCCATAGAATCCCTACAGTGTGGAAACAGGCCATTTGGCCCAACAAGTCCACACCGGCCCTCTGAAGAGCATCCCACCCAGACCCATTCCCCTAATTTCCCATGTTTAACCCACCTATCCTAAACATCCCTGGGCACTATAGCATGGCCAGTCCACCTACGCAGCACATCTTTGGACTGGGAGGAAAACGGAGCACCGGGAGAAAACCCACATAGACACGGGGAGAATGTGCAAACTCCACACAGACAGTCGCCCGAGGCTGGAATCGAGCCCAGGTCCTTAGCGCTGTGACGCAGCAGTGCTAACCACTAATCCAATCCTTCTTTTCGGTTATTTATTTAACATTCTGTGTTAGAATTGACATTGAATTCAATATTGTAACTGACTATATGATTTAGATTATGTGCCACGCATTAATGATTATTCAGGTTGATTGGCCAAAAAAAACAGACAATTCTTCATCCTGTTTGCACAGGCCCAGATTATTGTACTGATTGTTGTAGATTCTGTGGTGGGAGTTAAGCTATTTTGACTCTTGGCTGACAGGAACTTGTGATGCACAAATCCAAAGAATGTCTATGGCAAGTACGGTTCTAATGTATGATTTGTGCTGTTCATTCACTGTTTAGAGCATAATTTGGCTGATTTAAGTTGGGTGTCATTGATGTATATATAATTATACATCTCAGGTTTGCGTATGATATTGTTGCTGGTAACATGATGAATAAGATGGGAACTAAAGAAAATCCGTGGAACAAAGGTGACCATACAGCTGCAGAGAAACATTCCATTAGACAAAATCTAGTTGTTTAATGGGATGCAGTGAAGTGAAACTCAAACATTCTGGCGCCACAAAGGTGAACCACAGAGAAAAAGGAATGGAGAAGAATAGTCAACCATAAGACACATACTGAATAATATTTATAACAAATTTATGTAAAGTTCAGCTTAAGAACAAACTCTATTACCAGGTGGGATGCATATGGAATGAAGTTGAGAAGGAACTTAAGCAGGAATCAGTCCATCCAGTTGCAGCAGATTTGGACAGCATGCATATTATTTTGAAGCATTATGAGAATCTTAGCCGGCAAATTGCTCACTATCAAACTGATATACTTGAAAACCAAGAAAAACAGGATACATACGATGAGCAGAAAATGTATTCAGAGGTAAGCAGCTTTGGATTTTAACAACATAGTATTTATTACTGTTAATTCATTCAAGATATGTATTATTGAAGTATATTGAGTCATACGGTCACACAGCACAAAAAAGGCCCTTTGCACCAACGAGTCTGCACCAAACTGTCTACTCTAATCCCACTTTCCAGCATTGGACCAAAGCCTTGAATGTATTCACATTTTAAGTGTTTTTCCATATACTTTTTAAAGTTGTGAGGTTTCTCACCTCCATTACCCTCCCAGAAAGTGCATTCCAGATTTCCACTACCCTCTAGGTAAAAAATGTTTTCCTTAAATCCTCTGTAAACCTCCTGCCCTTCACTTAAAATGATGCCCCTCGATATTTTAATTATTTATTATGGTTTTATTGTAAAATATTTTTTGGAGTATTTGACTCATTCTTTATCAATGTTAAAACTTACTCAAGAATTGTGATGTTCTAACTGTTGAGAAAAATTTCCACTGGTGTAATTGGATGTAAAATAGCTGGGAAATGGCATCCCATCCCATTTCACTATGAATCCTTGTTCCAGTCCTACACTGGTGCCCTCCCACAACTCTTTTCTCGGTACATCAATGACTGTTTTGGTGCTGTTTCATCCTCCAGCCAGGACCTTGAAAAATTTGTTCATTTTGCCTCCGATTTCCACCTCTCTATAACTTTCACATTGTCCATTTCCGGTACTTCCCCTCCTTTCCTTGACCTCTCTGTCTCTATTTCAGGGAATAAACTGTCTGCTGCCATCCACTACAAAACCACTGACTCCCATAGCTACCTGCACTACAGCTCGTCACATCCCATGTCCTGCAAGGACTCCATCCCATTCTCCCAGTTCCTTATCCTACATTGCATCTGGTCGGATGATGCCACCTTCCAAAACAGCACTGCTGACGTGGCTTCCTTCTTCCATGACCGTGGTTTCCTGCCCACTGTGGTTGACAGGGCCCTCAACCTATCACCCATGCTTCCACCCTTGCCAACTCCCATCACTCACAACAGCATGATCACATTCCCCTTATCATCACTTTACACCCCATCAGCCTCCGCATTCAAAGGATCATTCTCCGTCATTTCTGACAACTCCAGCGGAATGCCACCACCAAACACATCTTCCCCTCACTTCCCCATCTGTATTTTGCAGGGATTGTTCCCTCCGGGACACCCTAGTCCATTCTACAACTACCAACCCCACCCCCTTCCCACAGCATCTTCCCATTTAACCACAGGAGGCTTAATAGCTGCCTCTTCACCTCCTCCCTGCACCATCTAAGGGCCTAAACAGTCTTTCCAGGTAAAGCAGCATTTCACCTGTACCTCCTCCAATCTTATGTATTGTATTTGCTGCATCCAATGTGGCCTACTCTACATTGGAGAAGCCAAACGCAGACTGGGTGACCACTTTGGGAAACACCTCCGGTCCTGCACAAGCATGACCCCGACCTTCCCATAGTGGGTCATTTTAACACAGCATCCTGCTCGCATGCCCGCATGCCTGTCCTCGGCATGCTGCAGTGTTCCAATGAATCACAGGGCAAACTGGAGGAACAGCATCTCATCTTCAGTCTAGGCACTTCCGAGAAGGCTGAACTTAATATTGAGTTCAACACCTTCAAATTGTGAACCAACTCCCATTTCTTCCTTTCTCTTAGCTTCATACATTCTGTTATCATGTCGTCTCTCCCCTCCCCCTATGCCAGTGGGACTTCCTGTCCTCTCAAATCTGACAGGAGACACACCATTGTTTTGCCATTCTCACATTCCGAACACTCAATCTGAACTATCGACATCTTTTCTCCATCAGGATTCTACACCCAGTACCCCCACAAACCACACCCCCTCCAAATTATAACATAAATGCTGCCCCCTCCACACTTTACTTCAGCTCTGATGAAGAGTCACCTGGACTCAAAACATTAGCTTGCTCTCTCTCCATGGATGCTGCCTGACCCACTGTGATCTCCACCATTTGTTGTTTTCGGTACAGATTCCAGCATCTGCAGTAATTTGGTCTTGAATCCACAACAGATTGTTCCCAGAAACTACCTGAATACCCTCTATGAATTTTTGTTCATAGCTGCCTCTACTGATTTGATGTCCCCAATCTCCATGAAGATGAATGTCACCCATGAATAATGTACTGACTTTTTACATGCCCTCCTTATATCCTGATTTAATCTCTGACCTACAGCATAGCTCCTGTTAGGGGGCCTTCAGACTAATCTGGTCAGTGTCTTCCTCCCCTTGTTATTTCTGCCGTACAACCGTATGGATTCTACATCTTCCAATGCAAGATCATTTCTTGCTATTGCACTTATTTCATCTCATTCTAACAAAGCTACCCTCCCATCCTTTCCTTCCTGTTTGTCCTTTTGAAAAGTTATGTACCTTGAATATTTAGTTCCCAGTTTTGATCTCCTTGTAACCATGTCTCATGATCATTCCCATTAACCTCTGTCTGAGTTTTATTTAATTTAGTTTGTTCCTAATATTACATGCATTTAAATAAAGAGACATTAATTTTGCCTTTTTTTGCAATCTCTTCTCCTTTTGATCCTTTTTGCTGCTGTTTTTATATGTTTGTACACTATGTACTTGCGCTGTTAGGGGAGTTGGTAAGACCACAACTAGAGTAGTCCTAAGACTTTTGGTCTCCTTATTTATACTTGCATAGCGTACAGTTCAGGGAAGATTCACTAGATTGGCACTTGGGAAAAAGGAGCTTTTTTTTCTTGTCCATTCTTATTGATAAAGATAAGTAGTAGAAGGGCTTTGGGGAATCTAAAACAATGTTCTGTCAATGCTGTTGTTTCAGAGATAGTAGGAACTGCAGATGCTGGAGAATCTGAGATAACAAGGTGTAGAGCTGGATGAACACAGCAGGCCAAGCAGCATCAGAGGAACAGGAAGGCTGACGTTTTGGGCCTAGACCCGAAGCCTTCCAGCCTTCCTGCTCCTCTGATGCTGCTTGGCCTGCTGTGTTCATCCAGCTCTACATCTTGTTATCTCTCTTCTGTCAATGCTGTGCAATTTTGAAAAATGTTGGAATTTGATGAAAGACAGCATTGAAATTCATTTTGCATTGGATCCCTCAAACAAATAGACAGACTCTCCTCCAAACCACCAAAATGGGAATTAAACTTAGCCCTTAGAACAACATGCTCAGCATCTGAATCTCCTTGCTCTAACGAATCTATTAGCTACTGTCATTTTGCAGACAAGACATTTGCCACACAAGTTGTAAGGGCTGTTGGGGTGCAATGGTAGTGTCCTTATTTCTGGACCAGGTGGACTAGGTTCAAGTCCCACATGCTCCAGACAATTGTTATAATATGAACAAGTTGATTGTCTAAAACAAAAGGTGAGTTTTGTAACAACATGTGTATTATGTCAAATTTTTAGTCTTTTCCATTCATCAGTTTTGTTTGGTGCTACTTAACTATTATTTCCAAATTATTTTTCAAAGATACAACACAACCACAAACAAAGAGAAATGTTCAAGAAGTCAAGGCAGGAGTATGTGGCCAGGACATCAAACTATGAAACCTTGAAGGCAAGGATTGTTTTATTTAATGAAACAAATGTCATTATAATACATTTCATTCTTTAAAAAATGACATTTCCTTTTAGATGGTTCATTATCCTGTGTATTGAACTGTGTTGAAATTAGAAACTCATACGTGCTTTGGTTCTATAATTCATTCCCTCCCAAGAACATAAAACTGGAATTTTTAGCTTGCTCAATTTAAACATTCTGCTGTGACTTTCAAATATTTCATCTTAGCATTACTTAGTCAATGATTAACCTCATCTTTTATGAAGAAATTCCATGATCCACTGCTCCCAGTTAGACCAATGACGCTACAATTTTGGGGAGGGGATAGCACTGCAACATTGCAGCTCAGATTGTCTGGTTTTCACTTTAGTGATTTTAGTGGGTAATTTTAGCTCTGTGATTTGATTTTTACAGTGATTTAAAATCCACGCATCTATTGAGGCTGTGAAAAACTGAATAAATGCCAGACTTCTTTGATTGAAAATCCGTCCATTGAGCCTTTGTAAAGTAAAGATCAGAAGGCTGGCCAACTGGTTAGAACACGCAAGAATTAGAAGCAGCAATAGGCGCTTCAGCCATTCAATGAAATCATGGTCGATCGCATTGTGGCCTTAACTATAGTTTCCTGTCTGCCCCATCACCAGCCCCTCATCCCCCCAAACTCTTGATTCCCTTGTAGATCAGAGGTGTATCTAACTTGGTGATCACTAAAATCTGTTGTCCAATTCGAGTAACTTCAAACACGCTAGAGCATTGAGTTCTCACAGTGGCTATGCTTCCAGATGCAGGAGATAATGGAAATGCAGCATCAAAGCTTTGATGAGGCCAAATGATCTAATTTGAGATCAAGTGATGACTAGTGTGGCTCCTCCTTTGATGGACGAACAAGCTGATTCTGGAAAGCTGAGGTCTGCAATGAATGGCACATATGAAGTTCTTTCTTGCCACTGATCTCTGCTGACTCCTTGTTTATGGGGATGTAGAGATTGTATATTCACTTGTGCAATGGAATTTCATTATAAATGCACGGTCATCCTCAGAGTATTGCATTGTAGTATTGGTGGTGTGTAAACCTGACCATGCGGAGCAGGGCAGTCATACAAGGACAGTTCCATGACAGACTAATGAGTCAGATGAATAGAAGCAGTGGAATAACCTTCCTGCAGGAAAAGTGCTTTTGTTAGTTGTGTTGCTGAGAAGGCAGCAACTGAAGCTGGGGTTCAGGAAGAAATTGAAGATCCATTGACTGCTCAGGGCTTGGGCAGGGTATTCTTTCAAGTAAGTTTAGTCTGTTGGGCTAAGGGCAGTAAGAGAAGTGGTAGAGATAGCATATCAGATGGTCTCAATTTGAAAGAATTCCTGTGACTGAAGCTCTCCACAGGAGTTACACAATCTTATAATAAGCCTTGTTCAAGCTTTGCATTCTAAGATTTGTCCCGTTACTTTGCTTAATTTCAACTCAACTTGGTTAACAAAATATTCTTGTATACAGCAATGTCTTATACTAACTAAATTTGTTTTAAATGATTCCTCCATTCCCTATAACTGCCATTATTAACATTGTAATTGATTCTCTCTGTGTTTAGAAAGCTAAAAAGGATCAAGAACAGGGCATAGAATTGTCCAAGGTGAAGAAGAAAGATTTGAGTCTTATTATCCATAAGACTGAAATTGCAGGTTTACATACAACTGTAAGTAATTCTCTTCCTTCCAACATTGGCACTTATAAATGAGTATTTCTGTAAAAAAGACACATTTTGTCTTAAGTTTTTATGCTGCATTCATCATGACAATTTATAAGAAATATCAGTGTAAAAGGAAAACAACACTTAGACTGTCTGAGAGGAAAATGCTGGTTGGTTGGCAAGTGGATAATGATTGGTAGAAGCATTGGCATGGAGAATGCACCAGTTAGATGATGACTGACAGCTAACTGAGAAGTTATATTTAAATTCTAAACCAAGCAAGTTGACTGTATGGGTAAAACATTGCCCTGAAAAGTGAACCAGAGAATGGGTGTCATCTGTTTTTGATTTGAAACAGCCACCTTGTGTTTACAGGTTTTTAAGTCTGCAAAGAGCAGGGCCATGTGTACTAATATAGGTAGTTTCCGGTATACACAAGTGCACTGTGCTGCATGCCTGACTAGCGATCCTAAATTTGGTTATTATCACAATCCTTTGTACATTCAGGATTATTTGACAAATAATAGCCAAGCACAGATTCGCATCTAATTTTCGACGCTGTGTTTTGAGTTTTGCAAGCGCAGAGATAGTTGAGTACATTCAGTAGCTTGAACAATCGTAACCAATGTATCTGCTGTAAAATGTAATTGAACTTGACAGTTAATTGCCAGTCAGCACCCGAATGGTGCATTCTCCAAAGTAATACCCCTACTAATCAGAATCCACTTGCCAACCAGACAGGACTGTCCTCTCATAGAATATAAATTTTTTTTTTTTCACTTTGCTTTGGTATTTTCCATGAATTATACTCTTTATGTCTGGGGAGGTGACAGCATGATGGCATTGTCACTGGCCTAGTAATCCAAGAGACCCAGGTAATGCTGAAGGCACCTGGGTTTTAATCCTTCGTGAGTGCAGGCTGGAATTTGAATTTTTAAAATAATTAGATTTTCTTGGAATAATTGTAAGCAGTGAGGTGGACAGTGTAGAACTTAAAAAGTACATAGACAACTTGGTGGAGTAGGCACATAGGTGGTGGATATGTTTCAATGCAGAGAATTGTGCATGATGCATTTTGGTAGGAAGAACACAGAAAGGCAATAAAAATAGGGGGTACAATTTTAAGGGGGATGCAAGTGTTTCAGTGTTTATGTGCACAGGTCATTGAAGGTGACAAGACAGAGAGAAAGAGCAGTTTTTTTGCAAAAGAAGCAAGGGTTATTTGAGAATAAGTTTCACTTAGAGTCATAAAGCTGTACAGCACGGAAACAGACCCTTCGGTCCAACTGGTCTATGCCAACTATAAATCTAGTCCCATTTGCCAGCATTTGGCTCATATCCCTCGAAACCCTTCCTATTCATATATCCATTCAGGTGCCTTCTAAATGTTGTAATTGTACCAGCCTCCACCACTTCTTCTGGCAGCTCATTCCATACACGCACCACCGTCTGCGTGAAAAAGTTCCCCTTAGGTTCCTTTTAGATCTTTTCCCTATCACCTTAAACCTATGCCCAGGGCAAAGTCCTTGTCTATTCACCCTATCTATGCCCCTCATGATTTTACAAACCTCTGTAAGGTCATCCCTCAGCCTCTGACGCTCCAGGGAAAATAGTTCCAGCCTATTCAGCCTCTCCCGATAAGTCAACCCCTCCAACCCTGGCTACATCCTTATAAATCTTTTCTGAACTCTTTCAAGTTTCACAATCTCCTTCCAAAGCAGGGAGACCAAAATTGAATGCAGTCTTCCAAAAGAGGCCTAACTAATATCCTGTACAGCTGTAACATGACCTCCTAACTCCTATACTCAATGCTCTGACTAATAAAGGCGAGCATACCAAATGCCTTCTTCACTATCCTGTCTACCTGCAACTGTACTTCCAAGGAACTATGAATCCGCTCTCCAAGGTCTCTTTGTTCAGCAACACTCCCCAGGACCTTACCATTAAGTGTATAAGTCCTGCCTGATTAGCCTTACCAAAATGCAGCACCTCACATTTATCAAAATCAAACTCCAACTGCCACACCTTGACCCATTGGCCCATCTGATCAAAATCCCATTGTATTCTGAGGTAACCTTCTTTGTTGACCACTACATGACCAATTTTGGTGCCATCTGCAAATTTACTAACCATACTTTCTATCTTCACATCCAAATCATTTATATAAATGACAAAAAGCAGTGGACTGTCTCCGCCACACATTGCATTCCATACCCAACAACTAGCTAAGTTGTTGGGTATGGAACGCAATGTATGGTGGAGACAGGTTCAGTTGAGGCATTCAAGAGGGCATGGATGATTATTTGGATAGTGATAATGTGCAAGGGCATGGGAACAAAGTGAGAGATTGGCAATAGGTAATGATGCTTATTTGAAAAGCTCATGCAGGCACAATGGGCCAAATAACCTCTTTGTGTGCGTAAGACCTCTGATTCTGTGGATAGTGCAGGAGAAAAAGGTGCAATAAAATGTGTCTTTTTCAGCAATACTAAAGTTCTGTTCTACCAAATGATTAGTTATCAGTAAGTTTCAAAAAGTAGTAGTAAGTTGTTTCTTTCCTTACATTATGCATGACTGTTCATCATCATTTTAAAATCATGAGTTCTCTTTCTTCTGATTTCACTGCCCTCTTCCCAACACATATTCACAGCCTCTCCCTTGAACTTGCCAACTCATATGGTGTTATGAGATCCAATGTATGAATCACAGATACATAATTTTACTCTCTGGCTATATCCCCCTTCCATTTCCCAAATCTACCTCCTTCAGTATCTGTCACTTGAAAATAACTGCTTCCTATTTCACAAATAACTGCCTTTCAAATTCCTAAATGTGCACCATTTAACCCTCCATTTGCCATTACATTTCTGAAGCTAATGATTTACTAAACCACACCTCTCCTCAAGCTTTGATGGCCTAGTCCCAAATAGAGCCATTACTCTGTCTCACCCTCAGTTTCATTATTTTCAGTTTCATCTCAGTTTCCTTAAGTCCAATATTGCTCACTTGAAAGGATGTTGGGGGCATATAAGTATTTGTTAAAACTGTCCACTATTCTAGAAAACTGGTTTATTTCTGTACTGTAAAACGTCTTCTTAACCTCTTCTCACCTCCATCTTCACCTTCAACATGAAGTCTGAGGAATTCATTGGACTTATTTATCACTAACACCAAGACAGTCCAATTAGCTGCCTCTGCCAAGCAGTTTCCAATGTTTCATCTCTGTCTTAAATGGATGATACTATTTTCTGGTCCCAGCCTTTCCCACAAGAGAAACAATCTTTCCACATCTACCCTGTCGAGTCCCTGTAAGGAGCTTTTATGTTTTGATAAGGTGGCCTCCCATTCTTCTAAACTTCAATGAGGACATGTTCAACTACTCAACCTCCAATAAGACAGTCCCTCCATACTAGGGATCAACCTTGTGGATTTTTCTCGCCCACCTCCAAAGCCAGTATGTCTTTCCCTAGATAACTGGTCCAAAACTGTTCCCAGTGTTCCAGCTGTGGTTTGACTAGTACTTGTATAGTTTTAGCAAGACCACTCTATTTTTATCTCCATTCCCTTTGAAATAAAGAGCCAACATTAAATTTGCCTTCCCGATTATCTGCTAAACTTGTAGGCTAACTTCTTGAGATTCAGGGGCAAGGAGTCATTCATGGCTGTTCAAGTTCAGAGAAGAGGTCCATGTATGAAATGCTAACTTGTCTGTTCAGTCCTCAGCTGCTATCAATGTGTTGAATATTTTCAGAAATTTCTATAGTTTTTATAAAAGAAGGTAAGTAAATATAAATAAAGTTTAACATAATAACATTTATAGCAATTGGAAAGAATATATGGAACCAGAAGGTTCAAAGGTTAAATTACTCACCAACAAAGAATCAATAAAATTATGAAAACTTTTTTCATAAAATATTAAATTGTAGAAGCATTTTAAAGTAATGATCTCATTTCAATTTCACTTTATTTGGAATTCACATGTAACTGAAGCATTGGCATTATTGTGCAGTTCAGCAAAGAAGGTAAGAGCTGTACTATCAATGTACAGTACAATGGAAACACTCTGGTGATTATGTGTCTCTATTTTCCCATTAGGGTTTCTGGGGACGTTTGGTGTCAATACAAAGCACACCGAAGGAGTTACTAGGAGGTCCATTTTCACCTGTAAATCTCATGACAAAGGAAATGTGCAGAGATGGTCCAGCAATGAAAAATGGGGATACTGGAAGCAAACTTAAGGGTTCTTCATGTTCTGTATCTGTAAAATGAGTTCTAGACATTGATTAGATTAAATTCTTTATGGATACAGTTTGTAGACTTCTATCATGTTTTAGTTTTTAGTTAATTAAGAGCAAATTTCTACGCAGCAAATTGTTTTCGACTGACTAAAGTTATTTACAGGCCTTTATATAAATTTTGTGAACTTTATAAAAGTCAAAGAGCAAAATTAAGAAAAACTATAAACAAAAACTGGAGGCAGTCAATAGGCCAGATAGCCCCTCCAGCAAAAACAAAGAAGTTAATATTCCACTTCCTGAATTGCATTTGCAATAAGTAGATGATTAGTCACACAAATAGATATAAATGAGTATAATATAGTTGGGATTATGGACATGCGGCTGCAAGGTGACGAGGGTTGAAAGCAAAATATCCAGGGATGTACAGTTTTTTTTTATGAAGGACAGACAAAAAGGAAAGGGAGGTGCGGTAGTCTTGCTGGTTAAATAGGAATATAAACCAATAGCGAGGAAGGATGTTAGATATTAGTGGAAACTGCGTGGGTACAGCTGGGAAACACCAAGGGAAGGAAACAATTGTAAGCGTTTGATATAGACCCTCAAACTGGTGGTAAAGTTGGGGGAGACATTAAAAGGAAATTAGAGATGCAAGCAATAAAGGTACAGTTATAATTTAATTTTAACTTTAATTGGCATATTGATTAAGCAAATTAAATGTGTAAGGACCGTAGAGGAGGAATTCCTGAAATGTGTATGAGATGGTTTTCTGGATCAATACATTAGGGAACCAACTACAGAACAGGCCATCCTAGATTGGATATCGTGTAATGAGAAAGGAACAATTGGCAGTCGAGTTGCACAAGAACCCCTGGGGAAGAGTGAGCACAATATCACAGAATTGTTATAGTCCATTATAAAACATTTAATAGCAGACCACTTTGAAAATAGTGACAGGATAGGAAAGAGCCAGAAGGGATTTACAAAAGGAAAATCACACTTGACAAATTTGCTGGAATCTTTTGAGTATCTGACCAAACTTGATAAAAGCAAGGAGCCAGTGGCTTTGGTTTACTTACACTTTCAGAAGCTTTTTGATAAGGTCTCACAAATGAGAGTAGCATGCAAAACTAAACCGCATGATATTGGAGGAATATTCAAATAGGAATAGAGAACTGTATGGCAGACAGAATAAAAGGGTAGAAGTAAATGGATTTTTTCCTAGTGGCAGGCAGTAACTAGTGGGGTACCGTAGAGATCTGTGCTTGGACCCTAACTTCACATTGCATATTACTGATTTAGATGAGGGAATTAACTATGATATCTGTAAATTTGCAAATGGTACAAAGCTAGCTGGAAGGGCGAGCTCTGAGGAGATGCTTCAGTGTCATTTGAACAAGTTGAGTGAGGGGGCAAAGGCATGGCAGATGAAGAATAATGTGAATAAATATGAGATTATCCACTTTAGTAGCAAAAACTGGAAGATGGATCATTAGCTAAATGATGACAGGTTGGGAAAGTGAAATGAACAGTGAGGTCTGAATATTCTTTAACCTGTGCAGCTTTCATGTGACACCAAAGCTTTTCACAAATATGCTCTCCTGTACATTAAAGTTGCCAGAGCAATGGTGGCAGAAAACCAAAGAGGAGGGATTGCCAATTTTTGAAGCAGGAGAAGTACAGGTGATTTTACAAATTATGTCTCCATTGGACAAACCTGCACCCTTTCTTAACTGTAAAGAATTTCACTTTGTAAATGTCCAGAACCTAGTGGCTCAATCTTAGACTGTTGCCAGGGATGGAGTCAGTAACTGCTGAGTAGAGTTTGGAGCAGGATCAGAAAATAATGGTGTGAATCTTCTCAGTGTGGAGGAAATGTATGCCCATCAATTACTGGATACCAAATAAGCAGTCTCATAATTTAGTAATGTGATGGATTCAAGAAAAGTGTTTGTAAAATAGAACTGGGTGTCATCACAATAAGAGACCACATGTTATTCCTTCTTGGAATATAAACTGAAATGGAAGTCAGATTGCTATCAGTGAAATTCTAGAAGAGTTTTGTAAATTAGAGAAATCAAGTGGTGCACAACTTCAGCACACAAGAAAATGTTACTTTCTGTAGCAGTGAGATTGTTACATTCATACTAACAGTTTTTGAATTTGGGAAAAATTCCCTCAGGAGAGCCCCCAGATTGATCAAACTACAGTTTGCTACAGATTTGTAAGTGCAGATCCATCAGAGATCTCCATAGCTGGCAAACTGAAAATATCTCCCTCTGGCTTCGCCTAGTATGAGTGAAAAGATAAAACAAAGAATTCTTACAAGAAAAGACTTAGGTCTACTGGATCAACTATTGAATTGTGGAACAACCAGAGTGCATCATTGCTGAATTGAAAAGGAACTTTGAGAGATAATTTAACCCACACTTGTGATCTGGACTTCTGATCTTGCGAATTTTGTTTTCCCAGTCTGTCTTTTCCCAACCATAAGTGTTTGTGTCAAGCCATTAGTCTTTAATATGTTTTATTTATGAAAAATTATGTTTATACTTGAGGTTTTAAAGGATATAGTTTAAATCACATTGTAATAAATTAGGCATCTTTTCTCTGTCTTTTGTTAAAGTTGTGTGCCTATAATAAATAGTTATTTCCTGTCCATGATGAAACATGGTGTGAATTGCTGTTATCCGGAACAGTAGTTAGTCAGCCAAATTTATTATTTTGTTGGTTTAATTAGGATAAGACCGTACGACTTAGGAGCAGAAGTAGGCCATTCTTGTTTTCTCTGCCATTCAATGAGATCATGGCCGTTCTGATAATCTTTATCCCAATTTTCCTGCCTTCTTCCATAGCCCTTGATTCTCTTAGTGATATAAATCAGTCTTAAATATATTCAAGAACACAGCCTTGACAGCTCTCAGTGTTAAAGATTCACCATCCTCTGGGAGAAGAAATTCCTTCTCATCTCTGTCTCAAATGGGTAACTCGTTACTCTGAGATTATGCTCTCTGGTTCCAGATTCCTAAGCAACCTCTTAGCATCCACCCTGTCAATCCCCCATTAGAATTTTATATATTTCAATAAGGTCACTGGTCAGCATTCTAAAAACTGATGATTTTAGGTTCAACCTACTCAACCTCTCCACATAAGAAAATTCCTCCATATCTGGGATTAACCCAAGTGAACTTTCTCTGGACTGCCTCCAATGTCAGACTATCTTTCCTTAGATAAGGGGCTCAAACTGTTCACATAATTCTAAGTGTGGTCTAACTTGTGCCTTTAATAGCTCTGGCAAAACTTCTCTAGTTTTACAATCCCTTTGAACGTTCCAACATTCCCTTTGCTTTCACTATTACCTGCTGAACTTGTATGCTAGCATTTTGTGGCCCAGTGTATTTTCCTCCCTCTTACCCTGCTCTAATAAGTGCCCAGTCTCCTCAACACTTTTCTCTGTTGATTTTCTTTGAAGGCTGGATCTCTTCAAATTGCTGGTTAAGCAGTTGTTTGGTTTCCTCCATGTCCTGCTTGAGTTTGAGTTATTTCACTACAGCCTCAATACTGACATTGGTTTCTGAAAGGCCTGTGTCACGAGTGATTTACAGTTCCTCATTGGATCCGTTATGCATCTCCATCTGTTATTTTCTCCAGCTCAAGCCAATGTTTCTGCAACACTTGATCTGTTTTATACATGAGGTGCTCTAGATCTTCCTGAAAACAAGCAAACTTTCCACTGGATTGAACAACAGAGCTTGGTGTTCATTCTCCTTCCTTTGCCTCTCATTTAGCTCTTTGTCCATCTTTGTTTGCTGAGTAGGGGTATCCCGTTAAGGCTTCATCATTTCAGAGATGGTATTCTCAAGTTTGGATTTACCCTGAGAGAGCTGTTCAGCTTCTTCTTGAACTTTCATATTTCTCTCCACAGCTGAGAGCTGAGATTTCGGCTCCACTAATTCAGCAGAAAGTGGTGTTCTGTGTTTTTTTTCCCATATGCAGTTCTGCAAGTGTTTCTAAAACAGTCTGCTATAGTTTCTGTTGATGCCTGACTGATTCTACAGATTGTGACAAGTGTGAAGTTGCAATGTTCTTTACCTGTAATTGTTGGTCCAGTAATGTTAACAAGGTAGAATATCTGCAATATCCAGGCAACTTGTCCTTGTAGTCCACCACTTTTGATCCGATAAACTATTGTATGTTGAAAGTTTTACATTTGTAGATTTCGTCATGGTTTCACATGTCTTGTATTTGATTGTTTATTTCAACTTTAGCAGGGGTAGTATGTTGGTACTTGCTTTTGCATTAATCTCAGCCAGTAACGAGTAATAAAATCAGTTTTCTAAGGACAGATTGTTTGAATATTTTCAAAAAACTTCAGACAGTGTGACTATATTGATGTTTTCCAGGGGATTGACAATGTGAAGCATCACTCTTTATCCTATTGTGTATATTGTCAGATTTTCAATCACTTCATGTGTACCCCACTAGGGGAATACTAAGTGGTCTTTTTTGCAGCTGGAAGATACTCCTTGTGCACTGTCTGTTTGGGTTTTTGCATAGTTTTTTTGTAGCAGCATCAGTTTTTACTTCAGTGCATTGCCTCTGCCAATGGCCTTTTCTGCCACAAGCCTTGCAAAGTTGATTGAAAACTGGCCATTTCTGTGGTGCATGTAGAAGGCCACACTTCCCACATGTCTTGCTATGTTTGGCTTCACTAGTAATTGTGTCAACTGTCAAGTTGGATTTAGGATCAGCAAGCTTTGTCATTCTGTGAAGATGGCCACTCATGTCTATCCTTCAGTGGATCTTTGATCCTATAAGTCTTCTTTGTCCAGCATATCCTTCTGAAAACCTTTCATGGGGGTATGAGTCAAATCAGCAATGCAGCAATTCTGTTTGCTAGCTCCCCATTGGAAAAATCACACAATGAGCCCTTTTCTGTGCCTCTGGTAATGATATGATGTATAGATTTTGTAGGCTTTTGTCAAAGTGACATTAATTCTAGTTGATAAATATGGAAGTTAAATCTGTGTTGGAACTGGTGTCTAATGCGGTTGGTATCATCTGGGGATATGTTAGTACTTCACCTGTTGATTCTGACACATTGAGAATGTGAAGAATTTGGTTCCCATTTGTAAATAAATCTTAATGCAATCCTTTCCAAACTTTTCCCACTGTGACTCCATTTTGAGCTTTGAAAATTGTCTTGACCCCTCAGTGAGAACTGTGAGGGTGGTCAGCATATTAGAGAGGGAGCCGTGCTGATATATGGTGATCAAGCCTCCATAGTGGGCATTGCTGTCTCAGTGGCCACAATCCAAAAATTTAAGTTCACAACTCCATTGGGGCTCCAACCCCCACTTTGGCTTGATTTTCTATGTTGGACACACTGAATCTAGAAACTATAGCTCTGAGCATTGCTCAAACATTCTAAAAGATCTTTTGTGGCCCAATTTAAATTTGGGAATTTGGACATTCTGACAATATATTTTGATCTATCCTTGCTTTCTATTAATCCAGCACACTTCCTGTCCACTTACTTTCTTGAGTCAGTTAAATTAGTCTCCTGATGGGAATTTGCCTGCTAATCATCAAACTATGTTTTCAACACACTGCAATAGTGTAATAAGCAAAGAGGTTGTGGAATGTCTCATACACTTGAGCACAAATTTAAGACAGCTAACCATGCAATTTACCTGTAATTTGCTTACTGACCATTCAATCATCATGTCACATCATCAATAGTAGTGCAATAATAAATCCTTTGTCAGGGCATGATCCCAGCTGATGGTTTGTTCAGCATTCATCCCATTCAATCTGGAGAATACAGCAGAGGTATACCTAACCCATAACAAAACATCATTGGGTACCTTCCTGTACAGAAAGAAATGTCTCAAATTTCAGGTATTAGTTTACCCAAATTAACAAACCATTGGTGAGCAATGAACCAGTAGAAACTGCATGCTAAAGGGAGCTTATTTTATAATATATTTCTGGAATTGTGAAGTCACTTCAAGGGTACGTAAGTAAGTACCTTTCTTTAAAAGGAGATACAAAGTTCTTTTTAAAAAATTCAGCCAAAAACATGAATCAATAATTGTAAAATTGGAGTAACGTGCAATCAATTTTTGATATGGCCTTCACCAGAAGTCATCCACTAACTGGTAGACATTGAATTTTTATACAATTACTTTTATTTTGTAGCTAAACTTAATTTCTTTGAGATACACCTAAGTGTGTTCATAAAAAGGAAATTCCAATGAAACAGTAAAAATTCATTGAGAGATGATCATCTTATCTCATGATAGCCAAACAAACTAATGGAACTATGCAAAATCAAACCAAAATATCAACATCAAAACAACTGGAATTGTCTTCCAGAAATTAAGTATCTTTGTAGGAATTGCTTGGACTGTTTAGGAGAAAACCTATCAGCCCCCTTCCAGGGCATCTAGGGGTCCACAATCAACACGGTCTTGTCAGCTTGTTCCACATGCCCTGAACATTTTTCTTTTAAATAGCCTAAACTTTAGTAGGTTTAACAGGTGCCTCCCAAATGTTTAGGAAGCGTTGGTCAGTCAAATTAGTTTTAAACGAAGTAAATGAAACTAAATGTAATTTAAAAAGATACAAAACCAAGTCAAACTGATAAATTTGGGGAAAACCTTACCAAAAGCATTTGCATTGAGGCTCTGTTGAGCAGCCAGACCGATATCACCACAATGACTAAATATCGATCAGGAAGTAAAAAGGAAACGTTTTGAGTGTGATTTTTGAATATTCACTGCAAGTTTTCATTATGAAACTGAAAAGTCTAATCAAACTTTTGAAGAGTTGGGAATTTAGTGAGCCATTGCAAGTTAATACATCAATTGCTCAACTAATGCATCTCTGTCGTGTGTGAAATGTTAATCAGATATCTATGAGTCACTTAATTTTACTGTTGCTAACTTGTAAGCTAAACAACAGTAAAATTACTTTTATATCCTATAATTTTGATTTACTCAGAATAATGCAATCAAAGTTTTTAATGAACAGATCAGATTTGTAACCTACTCAGGTTGATTCAAATGTTCAACAATTTCGGATAACTGCTTTTAGTCTTTGCAAATCTTAAGCCTAAAATTATAAGCTACATAAACAGTCTATTCTGAAGCCTTTATTTCTACACAAAGAAAATCACTTCACCACTAGCACATGAAATTGAATCTTCATGTTGCTTGTACATAAAATTAATTTCTGATGATAAATAGTAGAAACTGAATAATTAATCTTCTGTAACTTGTATTTTGCATACATCAACTTATTTTACCATTAAGAAAGTGGAGACAAATCTGCATTTACCTCTAACTAAAAGCTGGAAAATGGAATATGTGCCAGTACCAAATAATAATTTAATACATACCAGTATTTTTGTTGAGTTTCATAGTCAATGGGTACAATATTTAACAGACCACTATTAAAAAGTAGCACAACACTGCAGGTGACAACAGTGTCAGAAACTATGGAATCAGAAAGAATCATTGAAATTTTCTATAGACTACTCTATTACAGATAGGGTAAGCATTAACAGAGACAACTGTAATTTGTGTTCTT